AACTGACTAGTGGAGGGACATGGGCAAATCCATAAAAAAAAGTCAGAGTGATATATTGAAAACTGAAGTAACGTAAGGGTTACAGCGAGGGAGGGGTGGGGTTTCTCTTACAAGCAGGCTGTGCAGGGAAGGCTGCTCTGACGTAGTAACACTGCAGAAATGCCGGGGAAAATGAGGGGTTGGTCCATGCAGGTGTCTAAGGGAAGAGCTTTCCGGGAAGAAGAAACCGGCAGCGCAAAGGCCCAGAAGCAGGCGTGTATGTTTGGCTGTGTGTCAACAACAGCAGTGTGGTCAGAATGGAGGGAACAAGGGGACTTGCCTGTGAGCCCATATGCTGTGTTGAGAAGTATGGCGGAGGGGGTGGGGGTGGGGGGTGGAATAGGGGACCGAGTGGGAGCGGGAGCTAATGCCAGGCAATTAGGAAACAATTGTAACTGTCTAGGCAAGAGACCCGGGGCCAGGGATTATTGAACCAATCTATAGGTAATTCAGGCCGGCATATTTTCCACCCCTCTGTCAGGTCATAGGGGTCACCTGCTTTCCACTCGATTCCCCCGTCCCCCCAACCTCGTCCTGGGTTACCTGTTACTTACTCTGATAAAAATTCTTCACGGGAAGAAAAGGGACTTCAGTTCCCAGCGGGCTGCCCAGATCCGAAAATGGCCCCGCACCTCGATGGGGGTGGGGTGGTCGGGGGCTGTGCACGGACACAGCTCCGGGTGCAGCGGGCCAGCCACAAGCCTCTCACCAGCGCCCACAGCGCGCACTGGAGACGGGGCTGCGCGCGCGCCTGGGTACCCCTTGCGCTCTCCGCCCCTCGCCGTCTCCCGCGCTCCCCAGCGTCACGCAGCGCGAGCCGCCACTGTCACCGAGACACAGCCGGGTCTGGGCAACCCAGTCTCAGTTTCGTTTTCTCCGCGAACTCCGCCTTCCGCCTCCGGCCCTTCGGCCTGGCTCCTCCTCACTAGCTCCGGGATCTCGGGAGACGGAGGCCTCCATGGGAAGTCCGCGCGGAAGGCATCGCGGGGTGGGCTCGGCACCCACGTGCCGCCCCTGCTTCTGGGCGCGCGTCCAAGCGCTTGTATCCCCACCCGGGCTTCCGAGGCTGTCAGGCCCCCGTGCAGATAAGGATCCGCAGGAGGTGGGAAGGACACGGAGGTCTCCGAGCGCCCGCGGCGTGCCAGGCACTCGCTGAACCAGGCTCTAGGATCAAACATCCCATTTCCTCTTCCACACAAACATTTGGGGGTGGGGGTCGGGATGGATATTACCGGCTCCATTTTACAATAGAAGAAACAGTAAATTAACTCGCCCAGGGTCTTGCCGCTGGTAAGTGGCAGCGAGCATTCAAGGTCAGGCTCCTAAACACCAAAGCACTCTGTTCCCTTTCCACTCTTCTGTCAGGTCAGATACAAGGCTGGGGATGAATTGGCCAGGGGACATAACCTTCCTTCTATCTGTTTGCACCCCTTCATTCGACAGATACTTGGCAGCCGCTGTACCAAGCACTGGCCAGTCCAGCAGTTAGGAGAGCCACCTGCTCCTTGAGGGACCTCATGGAGTTTACTACCAAAGCCCTTATCAACAGTCCCCGATTTATAAGAAAATCTACTCACCTAATGGACTATAATACACTCCCAAAGTAATACTGGCTCATTGACATGGCGACTAAAGAGTGCTGAGGACTCACTTCACAATATTGCAAGGTGGGTGCCATTGCTATACCCATTTCACAGATGAGGAAACTTAGGTCTGGAGCACAGAGAAGTTAAATAACACAGCTAGTAAGCACGGGGAGCTAAAATAGAAGCAGGAGTCTGCACCCTTAACATCTTAGCCAGAGTAAGAGAGGTGGTCCCAAGATGGACCTGAAGTATACATTAAATACTGGGCATTGGCTCCAGGAGTCCTTTTCCACTTCTCTTCTACACCCCTTTATATTGCAGGGTATCAGTGGCTAAAAACTACATTTCCCCTGTAGCCCTGGACATGATTGAAGTCTCCCAAATGTGAAGCACTTGTGGGATGTTTGGAAGATAGCCAGGAGGCAGAGCCATCTTTCTGTGGCGTTTCCAGGCGACAAAAAGCTCCAGCAGTGGTAAGTGTTTGCAGGGGTCCATTTTCCAGCTTCTGAGAATAGGGTGGTGATGGCAGCAGCAATGGCAGTAGCAGTGACAAGTTTCCTGACTTTTTGAAGCCCAGGAACTGCCCAAGAGAGCCTAGAAAGGAAAAGGACAAGCTCAAGTATGGTCAGAGGACACTAGCTTTTACGATCGCTCCAGAAGAGCCTCTTACGTGGAGCTTCAGGGCTGATGTCGTAAAGATCAGGTGCAGAGCCTGATGCCGCAGGTAGCAGAATTTTAAAATATAAATTTAATTTGTAGCCTCACCAAGTCTCTTGTGTGAACATTAAGGGTGTTGATTGGGAAATAATGAGGCCCTGGGAATTTGGGTGGATTTGAATGAATCCAAGTACCACTGCCCTCCCAAATTCTGCTGATGTCCACAGTCCTTCCACCTTTGTTTGATAAGGATGGTACAGCCTAGCTTGAAGATCCTGAAGTAGTCACTCCAAACGCCCCATCCTATCTCACTTCTAGAATTAGAATCAGATGCTAGGATGCCACCAAAGGATACAGACAAGATCTGATCCAGAGGAGGTAGTTTACACAATAAAAGAATTTCAAGATTTCACAAATTTTTTTTTCCAGCAGAAACCCAGGAAAATGCATGGAAATGGTTCTAAAGGTAACAAGAAACAAAATATATAATTTAGATTAGGCACTCAAGGTGCTGGCTCCAGCAGCGGGGAATGGCACTAACGGTTTGTTCAGCTGGTTTATTACAATCTGGCCTCAGGGTTGCCACACATTAAGTGAAATTGTGATGTCAGGTAATACAGATGATGAAATCAAAAGTACTTAGGGAGTGAGGAACATGGGAATAGATTAATCCTACACAACCTATCCACTCACTCCCTAACCATGGCCCCCAAGAAAATCCAAAGGATCCTCTTTCACCAGGCATTGAGAAACATATTGGAGAGGGGGGGCATCAGCATCCTTGAGAATTCTGTAATGGCTGACCACTGTTGGTGGGGAATGTTGATGGGAGAGACTGCCATTGAAAAAGCTCCCTGAGTTCAAGGTGTATTATGGCTCCCAGAGTAGCAAAGGCCATGTGGCAACACTTAAACCCCAAAGAAAGGGCATCAGGGTCAGAGCAGTAATCAGAAAGATTCAATCACCAAAGCTCTTTAGTGGTGATAAACTGGTTCCGGCCTTCCTAGATAGAACTCAAATAGATGGCAGTCCACAGGCATGTTACATGAGCAGATGTCCAAGACCCTCTCACGCCTGCTATATCAAGCCAAATCTCTGAGCTCATGGGGGGTCCCCTGTGGACAGATGACTGAGAAAGAAATATTCGAATGAAGCACAACACACTGCCATTGATCAGAAGTGGACTGATGTATTACAATAGCCCCTCTGGGAGGAGGTCCTAAAGGATAGTGGGAGAAAGGAAATCTTCCCAGTGGGCAGAACTTTGAGCAGTACCTTTAGTTGTCACTTGGAGAAAGAGAAAGCCAGTGGCTTGGACAGAACCAGGGGCTAACAATTTAGCCGGATATTCAGCGATTTGGAAGGAACAAGCTCAGAGGGCTGGAGATAAGGAGGTCTGGGGGAAATGATGTGGGTGAACCACTTGGAACAGACACAGAGTTATGAGCATATTGGGTTCCCTGGTGAATGTTCACCCCCAAAGGCACCCACTACTGAGGAGGCTTTTGAGAAGCAGGTGGGCAAGACTTCTACGGATGTCAGCTTTCCCAGCTACCCCAGTGCTTGTTCAAAATGAATGAAGAGGCAGTGGCAGCAGGAATAGATGATGTGTGTGAGTTCATCAACATGGAATTCTCATCCAACCTCATCTGGCTGCGGGGTACCCAATGTGCCAACAACAGAGACCAACCCTGAGCCCCCAGTGTGGATTACCATACTCCAAGGAAGACAAGCCAGTCACTTTGTGGGTGACTGACTGGTTACATGGGAGCCCTTCCATCATGGAGTCGGCAGGGATTTGCCCACTGTGGAGTAAGCCTGTCTTCCAGATATGGATTTGCTCTTCCTTTCTGCAGTGCTACTGCCAGCACCATCCTTGTTGGACATTCTGAATATCTTATTCACCATCATGGTATCCCTCACTAAGGAATCCATTTGACAGAAAAAGAAAGCAGACAGTGACTACCATGGGATTCAGTGGTTTTATTATGAACATCCAAAAGCAGCTAGCCTTATAGGATTGTGGGATGGAATATTGAAGACTCAGTCACAGCCCCAGGTAGATGACAACACTCAGCAAGCTGAGTGTACTGTCTTTCAAGCACAGTATATGCGCTAAACCAAGTTGCTGTTTCTTCCATGGTTTATTGATGACTGATTCAATCTCTTTAATAGTAATTGGTCTGTTCAGATTTCCTATTTCTTCATTATTCAGTCTTGGTAAGTTGAATTTTCTAGGATTTTTTCCATTCTAGGTTATCCAATTTGTTGGTGTATAATAGTTCATAGTAGTTTCTTTTAGTCCTCAGTATTTCTGTGTTATCAAATGTAATGCTTCCTCTTTCATTTGTAATTTTATTTTTTGAGTCCTCTCAGTTTAGTTTGTAAATTTCTCACTATTTACAAATAATACCGCAATAAAAATTTTCCTACATGTATCCTTATGCAAATGACGGAGTGTTTTTCCAGAGTATATCCCTAGGTGTATAATTGCTGGATTGTAAGGTATATAGACATATAATTTTATCAAATTTCTTTCCAAAATGTAAAAGAATATACTTCTGTTACCCCTCTCCCATGCTTTGTGCCATTGTTATCATACATTTACTTCTACATATATAATAAATTGCAGAATACATTGCTATTACTTTTGCTTTGAATAGGCAATTAATCTTTCAAAGAGATTTTAAAATGAGGAAAATCTCTCTTATATATACCCACATATTCACCATTTCTGGTGCTCTTTATTCCTTTGTGTAGATTAAAATTTCCATCTGGTACCATTTTCCTTTTGCTTATAGCACTTTCTCTAATATTTCTTGTAGTGCACGTATGTTAGGTACTATTTCTCCCACTTTTTTTAATATATAAAAGGTCTTTTTTAATCTTTATGTTTGATAGATGCTTTTAAGTATCCCTTTTGTAGCTAAGTGGCCTTTCCTCAAAAGGTCAACAAATTTAAGTTGGTGATCAAAAACTTCAGTTGTTATTACTACATTTGTATTATGTGTACCTAAATGTTGCCATTTAGCATCATTTGATTATTTGATCTGATTGTTATTTAATTATTTAAATTCAGTTATTATGAAGGAAAATAAAATACCAGCCCTGTTGAACTGACCAGGATCAAGCCTGGAAATATGACTCGTACTTGAACTTTGCTTGTAGGGAAGTGCCTGCTAAGCACTCTTTGAATTTTTCATCCATTTCTTGGTTCTGAGTTTCACTGAACAAATTTTTCCAATCACCAACTTCACCTATAACAAACAAAAACCAGTAGACCCAGACATCTGTTAGAATATGTCTTCTTGATTTTACCATTTTTCATGCAGTGTTTTCACTTTGAAATGTGAAAATGGACACATGAAAAAAAATTAGAGTCTTGAAAACTCGTGTAATTTCTCTTGTAAAATTAATAATATCCACGGGGGCTCCCCTATTTGTGGTGTGTGAGGTAACGTGCTTTCTTTATATCACTGAGAGGACCACTGGCCTCAATGATCTCTCATCTTCACCCCTCTCCCAAAAACTGGGACCTAAAATTCTACTTTCTGAGAGTTTTTTTTTTCTCTCTGAAGTCTTTTAAATACTAGTCCTCCTTGAGAAGTAACATTTTACCATAGATTTTGGTTAAAACCTCAGATCCTGACAATTTTGCAGAGTTATTATTTTGCCTGCGGTTAGAATATGTTTTTCTTACTGGCTTTTAAAAGTAAAGGAACTTATTTCTTTCTCTAGAATTTTGATGATTTGGGTTGAAGTTGTAAGTTCCTTGTTGCATAGCCTTTGAAATACATGTTTATAAAGTGGGTTTAATGACATGAGGATATGCTTAGATATGTGAAGGAAAATAAAGCACAAAACTGTTCACAAATGACAAATTCTATAAAACATCACAGAATAAGGTTGGAAGAAATATGCTCAAAAAGTTAAACGTGCCACTAGTGGGAGAAATGTGGATAATTTTTAATGTTTTTTTCACATTTTTCATTATTTTCTGAATTTTCTACAAAAATACCATAAAATTTTTAAATTATTTTGTTATTTATTTCAGAATTTTTCTATTCAGAATAGTGTTTTGTCAACAATATAGAGAAAGTTTCTATTTTCACCCCTTCTCAAAGCTAATAAAACTAGGCATAAAAATCAGGGTTAAATTAAGAAATGAAACCAAAACCATTTTGTTCCTTTCATGTGGATTTTTTAAATAGGTCTTCATTTGACAAAGTATGGTAGAGTCAAGTAGACCTATGTTCAAATCCTGACTCCATCATTTATTTGCTTTGTGACAATGGGGAAATTAATATCTCTGAGCTTTTGTGCCCATAGTTGTAAGATTAAGGATTTAATAATTTTTTTGATATAAAATTTAAGCCCAGCAAAGGGTCTAACACATGATAGATGCCTGATATATGATAGCTGTTGTTGTTATATGAGCCGTCTCTAAGTCACATTTTACTTTCATTATACATGCAAAAAAAATTGGCAATTCTGAGCTATATTATCATAAATTTCCATAAGAAATTAGAATGCTTTAATGAAATTTAGTAAAATCATCTGTGCCAGAGACAGCTGATATTCATTTTATCCAATATTCATTTTATCCTTATTAACAAAACCCTAATTTTAATTGGGTAATAATGTGTCCATGAAAACACACACACACACACACACACACACACACACACACACACACACACACACACATTTCCCAGCCAACAGTGTAGTGAGAGAAGGCCAATAAGATAAAAAAAAGTCACAGAGAGTAAGGCTTCCCACAAGTTCTTAAAAGGGGGCTCACTCAGCTAATACACATGATTCTGTCTCTTGCCTTTCTCTTTTTATTTTAATAAAATAATCCTTTAATTCTAATGTAATGCTGGAGCTCTAGCTGTTCTCTTGTCATTCATTACAAGGTGACAAGCAGAGCGGTATTATTAGGTTGGTGCAAATGTAATTATGGTTTTAAAGGTTAAAGATAATAGCAAAAACCAAAATTACTTTCCCACCAACCAAGAAGGAACTTAGTACTCTAAAAGATATTGGCGAGCTGCCAGCTCCCATTCTGAAGTGTGTGCAGACTTCTTGTTGAGGGAGAGAAAAAGAAAACCCTGTCTTCTTTAAGTTATGTGGATTGCCTGTTACGTGCAAAGTGATGGACATCCCAGAAACCAATGTAACTTTACCTTTACGGAACAGGAATGGGCCAACAGCCCCATGCGTTTCCTGGGACTTTGCTCGCATTGCCTGGAAGGTACTCTGAGCCGAGATAGTTTGAATCTGCTCCCCAGTTAAAGAAAATCCAAAGAACTCAGCAATTTGTTTTATTCCAGCGGCCAGATTCTGAAAACAAAATTTTAAAGGATGACCTTCTTTCTATGGGAATTGTGCCCTGACCACGTCCTGACATCCTTCTTAGACAGAATGGATCAAGCCTAACTATCTAATTCATCTGTTTATCTCTCTAGATTTACTTTAATACCTCGGTATAAATAGCTGAGGTATCCTTATAAGGTATTCTGTATCGATTTTACTTTGTAGTTTTAATCTATGATTCCTGTTAAACTATTTAGGATACAAAGTACAGTAAGCATTGATAAATAGGTTAGAATTTTATCTAAGAGGACAGTCATTTTTTTAAAAAGCATCAGCCTAGACCAGCTGAGGAAATTAATGTATTTGTACATGTTCATTTGAATTCTTTTTTCTTCTGAATCCTATTTATAGCTAATGGCTAATTCCATCAAGAAAGTCTAATTTTTAGAATCATAAAAACTAGAAGGGATCTTGATATTTATCTTGTCTAAATACACTTGTACAATAAGTCATGAACCCCACTCCCAGACCAACAGTATCCCTGACCAGTGGAGATTCATAAAGCTCGTAGAACAGTTCCTTAAAATGCATTCTACAAAACACTAATATACCTCACAATAGATGTATCATGAAAATAAAAAGAAAAGGAGGGTGAAGGGCTGAGGTCAAATAAGTTTAGAATTGTTTGGGTTAAACAAAGGTAAGCCTTTCCCCCCCCCCCCATAGGATCTCTCAGTCTTTAATAGGCCGATATGCAATGTGAATCTCCCAAAGGAGCAGGCTATTGAATACAGCAGTTCCCAAATCAATTTGAAGAAACAACTTCCTTCCAACCCCCAAGAAAGAATTATAAATGTCTGGGACAACACTGGCATTCTATGGAGGACAAGTTTCAGAAACATTGTTCTAAACCAGAGGGAGAAAAAACTAAATTAGTATGTTCTCTCATGTTATATAAATGCATCCAATAAACAGAAGAGATGGCTTAAATTATACTTTGATAAGACAAGAGAAACTCATGTTTAAAAATGCAATTTACTGGGTTGTAGGAAAAGTCATGACGCATCTTTGCAGCGAAAAACATAGAAAAAATATGTCATGACTTTTCCAACAACCCAATAGTTAGAGAGCATCTGACACACTTCCTTCTCTTTCTTCACGGTGATTCCAGGACTATGGTTTCCCTCCTATCTCATTAGTCACTGTTTCTTGGTCTCCTTTGCTGATTCCTCCTTTTTTTTCCCAAAGCCAATATTGGAGGGCTCCAAGGCTCAGTTCGTGGTCTTATTTCTCTTCTCCGGCCATATTCTTACACATACATACATAAGTATGTAATCTTACGGCTTTAAATGCCATCTATGTGCCAATGATTTGCAAATTTATATCTATAGCTCAGAATTCTCTCTGCATTCAAGACTTTTATTCCCAGCTTCCTACTCAGCCTCTCCATTTGGATGACTAACAAACATCTCAAACTTAGCATGTCCAAAAACAAACCCTTGGTTGTTCCCACAATCCTGCTTCACCTGCTACCATCACCTACTCAAATGATGGCAACTCAGTCTCCCCAGTTGGTTAGGACAATAATATTGGAGTTTACTCTGACCTGTCTTTTCCCCTCACTACTTTTACCCCTGTTTAATGCGGCAGCAAATCCTATTGGCTCGGCTTTCAATATGTATCCAGAATTCAACCACTTCTCATCACCTCCACTGCTTCCTCCGGTCTGAGCCACCATCTTCCCTTGCCTGGACTACTGCAGTAGCCTCTTCACAGCTTTCCCTGCATTATCTTGGTTCCTCTCCAATCTGTTCTTACACACCAGCCAGTATGGTCCTATTAAAAGCACATCAACTTCTATCACTCTTCTGCTTGAATTCTGTAATGGCTCCCCATTTCACTCAAGTGAAAGCCAAACCATTTTCATGATTTGCCATGCCAGTCCTCACACTCCTCACCACCCCATTTCCTTTCCTCTGTTCTCATTGGTTAGTCTCGCCTGGTTCACCTCTACTGACCCAGCCATATCCACCTCCTCCCTGTCCCTTACTCCTACCAGGAGCTCCTACCTCAGGACCTTTGTGCCAGTCAATTCCCTGCCTGGGAAGCTCTTACCCTAGTTATCCACTTGGTTCACTCCCTCGCTTCCTTCAGATCTTTGTTCAAATTGCATCCTCTCCATGAGGTTTCTCCTGATCATTCTATTTTATACTGGGATTTGTCCAGCACCCCAATCCCCCAACCCCTGGCATTTCCAGTTTTCCTGAATCAGCTATGCCATTTCTATTTCTCACATATTATATACACTTTTTAAATTTTATTGTGTTTATTATTTATCTTCCTGCCTTCTCCAGGGGAGTGATCTTTGACTGGTCTGTTCACTGATGTGTCATAAGGGCCTAGAACAATGCCAAGCAATCACTCACTAAATGTTTGTGAATAAACAATTTTAAAAATATACGGAAAAAAATCAATTCACAGCCAAATGTGTATTCAATTAAATGTCAATTGAGACCTACCTATTGTTTTTCACATCCCTAATTTGTTTTTCACATCCCTAATATCATAAAAGGGGTATAAAGCAGACACGGGTTTTTTTACTTAGTACAATCTGTGTTCATACAACCAGACATTGTAAGTGCTCTATATTGTAGTTTATAATAAATCTTGCAATAGAATATCAATAATCATAATCTCACCTCTTTCAGGTCTTCATATAATATGAACTTAACATTTTCATCCTCAAGATGTTTGTTCCAATTAATTGCAAAATCAAAATAGCTTCCCCAAGAAACTAAAAACACAAGGGAAAAAAAAAACCTTCTAAGGAATTTTAAATAACTAAAGTTAAAATGATAGATGGTTAATTTATGCTCTAAAATATAAACTATCTATATATGTATGAGCTCAAATAAGATGTTTACAAGTTATTACAAATCCCTGCTCCAAAAGAACTGGCATCAGCCCATCCTACTGCAGATTTCTATTTGTTTTCTTATCTTCATAAATAATAACGCAACTAAGCAAGTTATAAAAATGGTTGGATAAAAACTACCAGACATCCATGAATATTTAGGTGAATGAAATAATTCAGAAATAGTGAGTGATATATGAAAGCTGACAGAGATAATGCCAAAAAGAAATGATGTTATCTAGACCAGCATTGTTCCACAGAAATTTAATGTAAGCCACATATGTAATTTAGAATTTTCTAGTAGCCACATTAAGAAAATAAAAAATAAACAGGTGAAATTAATTTTACTATGTTATTTAACCTAATATATCCAAAAATTTTATTTCAGCATGTAGTCAACATAAAAATTATTACTGAAACATTCCACATTATTTTTATATTCTAAGTGTTTGAAAGCCAGGGGGATTTTACACTGTGCTGCTTACTAACTGTATGACTCCGAGCAATTCCCTAAACCTCTTGTGCCTTAATTTCCTTATTTATAAAATGGGGTGGTAGGGATAGCACGTAGTGTCTGGCATGTACTAATTGCTCGGTAAGTGGTAGCTATTTTATTCTATCTAAAATTAATTGCTAATATATAATAAGTGGTGAACCCCAATCCAGGCCTTCTCATTCCAAATCCTACATATTTTCCAGTGTCTTCAACTGCCTCCATAAATTGAATTTAACAGGTTTTCAAGGCAGAAACTCCATCCAAGTTATCACCACTATATCTTATCATCGTCAATCAAAGAATTAGGCTAAAATGAGGGATAGGGCAAAAAAAATTTCCTAAAACAGATTGTCCCAATGATGGTAGGTTTCTCATCATTGAATGTTTTCTTGTATATTGAGGTAATGTTTCAAACTTGCCTTAGCCATCTTAGTGGTTATCAGACAAACCAAAGCTTTCTTAATGGTGCTTTATCAGCACCTCTGTGCACTTTTCTTTTTTCTCTTATATCCCTATCCCAATATTTAATCTTTACTAAGGAGCCTGTACTGTACCCAGTGTCTGTGCATATGGGATGGCATGGCCTTGCTGTGCTCATCACCTTTAAAACTGGTCCTCTTGAGGCACCTGGCAACAACTTTTCCTCTCAGCTCATCTGGCATAAAGTCTTCCTTCTACCACACTGTGAAGACTCAACGTAAAAGGAGGCAACTATTAATCTCTGGCCATTATACCCATGGAAGTAGAGTCACTGCCGCTTACAAGCTGTGAGACCATTGGCAAGTATTTAACTTGTTGTTTTTTTATTAGTTTTCTTATCTGTGCAATGGGGCTAATATTGCCTTATACACAGCTAGTTATGGTCTTACATGAAATCGTGTATATACAATACGTAGTTTAGTACCTGGAGCATTAGTAGGCACTTATAAAATGGTAGTTATCAATAACCAGAGGCAAAATATCAACATGGTCTAACAAAACTTATTTCCTTTCTGGCAAATAAATATCTTAGGTGTAGTTGCTCAGTGTAAAGGTTTTATCTTTTTTTTTTCTTTTTCCTCATTGTATTATACAGAGGCTTAGGGGAAATGAACTAGAAATGCTTTTCTATCTGACTCCGTTATATGCCTCTTTGTCCTATGTCTGTACTATGAGCACTCAATACTCATAGTCAACATCTAAATTGTCTAAATTATTTTTAAAAACAGTAAAGTATTGTTTGAGGTACAGAACTAGTGGTGCTGTAAAACTTCATTAAAAGCAACTTTCTGGTTCTTGGATGCACTTTAATCTCCTTTCTTTATCTTAAAATATACTTGAATTTTCGTATTTATGTGGTCATCTGTTGAAATAAGAATTCTTTTACTAACAGCCATACCTTGTCCTTTCATAAACTGTCTGAAGAATTCATCCCAAGAACTGTAACTTGGAATATTGGGGACATCATTGTGGAAATGGAAAAATGATACCGCTGTATCTTTGGGATTTCGAAATATCACCAATATCTAAGGAGAAAAAACCAAGTTAATTTATTTAGGTCATGTTTTGAACTTTGGAAAAGTGAAGGGGTGAATCATATCATATGTCTTGTATGCTACTTAGTTTTGTTACTATATAGAGAAAGAATGACAGTAAGAAATTGAGGAACAGGAGGCCGCAGATGGGGAAGTCTGGGGAGAGGGGAGAAAAGGAGAAGGAAAAGATTGCTGTTATGTTAGCGGACTTTTGCTAATGAGTTTAGATAGTAGAAAGGTATATGTAGAAGATATTAAAGAATAGAGAGCAAGTTCACAATTGCATGATCTGAAACAAACCTCCAAATAAAGTAAACATTGCCAAATAGTGTTAAGGACAATGAAATCATGTTTAGAGTTTGGTGGGAGATCAAAGAATGGCAGGCCATCTCTCCGGGGCCTGAGGTGTGATGGGTGGTACAGATGAAACAGTATCTCTGACTTCCCATGTGATGCCTGCCTTCTCTGATAAGGAATTAACTCATTCTTTTGAATGAAAAGTGTGATATAAACATTGTAAAGAGCAAACCGAAACCCAACAGAACCAAAAGATTACAGGGGAGCATCTGGCTACTCCAAGTGAGTTTCGGCCTTCTGGCCTGATGATTCCCATTTCTAGAACTGAGGAAATTGGGAAATACAGTATTGAGCAGTATTAGTGATCACTGAGGAATCCGAGACAGCACACAAGAGATTCTGAAGACGAGAAACTGGAGACTTCATTATAGCTTTGGAAAGGAGGATGATGTGGATTTTGCAAAGTACAGATTTGTGAACCTGACCTCCATTTTGGGGGAAGTTTCTAGAACTAACTAAATAGATGATTTGGGGCCACATAAAAGAGGAAGAAGTAACTAACCACCAGGGGGGGCAACATGGATTTTTGAAGAACAAGTCGCTGCCTACTAACATCAAGTTTTTTCTTGGATATAGTTTCTAAATTAGTGAATTTGTTGCTTATGAGTCCTACTACCAAATGGAAGACTGGAAGCTGGAAGCAGAAGCAATTAGGCATATAAAACTCGTGTGCAAAGGAGGCTAAATAATTAACGTAAACATCGCTGGCGGTTTTCAATGGCATTTCCGCTGTCCTGACTAGGAAGGACATCATCAATATTTTAATGAGTTATTTAGGTAAAGATATAGAAGCAATATTTATCGAAGTTGTAGATGACATGCGACTGACAGGGAATTAGGATCTCAAAATGCCTTGTCAGTCTAAAGAGATGAACTAACACTAACAGGATACAATTAAATAGAGACAAATAAGCTGGGGTCTAGGTCTTTGGCTCCGATCTAAAAATCACCCCCACCCTGAATCCAAATATAGCAGACTCTCGTCAGTCACTCGAGGGTGACATTTGGGGCTTCGCCTACCACCTATTCGCCTACCACCTATTACTCCCCCTGGCTTGTAGCAGTTTATAATTTGACAAAGTCATCCATTTGAATGGTGAGGGCCAGCTGGAGTGCGGACCAATCCCCATCAACCTCTCATCTTGGCTCTGCCACACTTTTCTTGCCCTTATATGCTTGTGAAATTGAAGCTCTGTTTCACTCCAAATCCAAGTGCTTTATAAATTGCTTTAGCTTTGTTTCTTATGGAACAATTAAGTGGAAAAAAGTCACCTGATTTGTGATTATATTTAACTGCATTAAACTGGAGAAATGATATGTTAAAGCGGTATTTCTGATTTGGGAGATTCTCAATCTAAAGACTGTTTGACAGAACTGTCCAAAGCCGGCATAGGCGATCAAGTTGCTCAGTCAGAGTCCAGTCACTTAGTGGAATTCAAACACCTAATGGGGATTGGAGTAGACAACAGTTGAGGTCTTTTCAATTCTAACTAAGCTCCTAGGATCCTTGTATGATGGCCGCTAGCTGCTAATTCTGTCTCTACTTCCCAAGTGATTTCTTTCCAGCTCTCCCTCTCCTCCTCCGTTGTTCCCCCTCCTTCCACTTGCCATTACAGTTGTCTTAGCTGCTTTCCTCCTTCCTCTTCCTTTGCTATCATTGCACTATCCTCTCATTCTTATTTGTGGCATTCGGAGTTTAACTCCTTATTTTCATTCTCATCTTTGCTCCTGATACAGAGAAAAAGAGGCACCCAGAAATAAGGATTGGAGGGAAGGCCAAGTGAAAACAAAAAGGATTGGGTAAAAACTAGTAATTATGAGACTAGATCAATAATGATTAATGAAACAAGATTTTTAAATAAGAGTAGCCAAAGCACCCATAGTTATTTATACATGACATGAAGTTTGCTATTACATGTGAAATTCAGATATGAAATAGTTTTAGACGTCAGGTAAACAATGCTTACCAGATAGAACCAAAGGAAACATTTTTGCTCATTTTCCTAGGTTGCATTCTTTTGTTAGACACTCTAAATATCCTAGTGGGATTCTGAAGTCTGTTCACTATAAAAACAGATTTTTATGGGCCGGCCGAGTGGCGCGATCGTTAAGAACTGGCTTGGGACGCCAGAGGGCCCCAGTTCGGATCCCACATATGAGGGCCAGTGACACTGCCCTCCACAGCTAAGATGCTGAACAACA